CGTTGGGATTCCACAGAGATGACACTGTGAATATCTACTGCCAATAACCTAATAAGAAAACAATTTAAGAATGAGCCAATATGCCATATAATGAAAAATGTTATACATGGTTCATATGATATAATTTCTACAAACAATTACAAGTATAGGCTTTGTTAAAGATCTTTCATCATTTTCAATTCCTTTAAGTAAAACATGAAATTTCCTTTGTAGCTATCGTGCGAGTCACCTAGAACAATTTATGAGTCACTCTAATCCTTGGTGTTCTCGTGCAAGACACCTAGAATAAATATGAATATGTGCTCTAGTGCAAGTCACTCTAATCCTTCGGGGCTCCTGTGCGAGACATCGTGTATAAATATGATTAGGTACTCCCATGTGAATCACTTTAATCCTTCGGGGCTCCTATACTAGACACCTGAAATAAATATTATATATATATATATATATATCAAACTACTTTTAATTTCTCTTTTATTCACTATTCATTTTGTTTCCCTTCAATATTGATTTTTCTCTTTTTCTTTTTTTTTATCAACTCAACTTAACATTTCAAAGTCCATAGTATTGGTACTCGTCTGAGAGTATCGATAATACACTTAACAAGTATCGGAATCCTTACGAGTGTCGATGCCAAAATGACTTACTGGAACTTCTTAGTTTACTAGATCTTTGTAGAGTGTCGATACTATCATTTTGGTATTGATACTCACTCATTGGTATCGATATTTGGGTTTATGATATCGGCACTATCGTGATATTTTTTGCCTGATTTCTTTAGAAATTTCCCTTGGAATCAATAATGTTCTAGTCATTCTATTACTCTAACCCATATTTTCACTATTTCAAAACTTGAAATATTTCTAAGATTCTCAAAATCCCATCCACCCGTGATTAACTCAAGAAAAGTATGTAAATTTAACTAATATCACCTAGTTATAACATATGAAACATGAAGAACAAGAGGTTACTACCTATAACAAAATGGTTGTTGATGAAAACTACTCCCTTTCAAAACCTTAAACCTTCTTCATGACTTTAGGATTAGATGATCCTCCCACTTTTTTCTCTTGCTCGCTAGACTAAGAGTTCCCAATTTCTAGATGGGCGTAACAAGAAACCAAAAAGAAGTTGTAAGAAGAAGGAAAAGAGAAAACCATTTTTTCCTCTTCTCAAGGTTTACGATATATATCCCAAATATTGGGAAAATCTAAATAAATGGGTTATTCACCTTATTAGTCCTTACACTTCTTGTTTCCTCATTTTTCCACTTTTGGGATTATAAGCTTTGGGCCCTCTTTAGAGTTTCTTATTTCCTCTATTTAGCTAATACACTCCTAATTTCTTTTATTCTTTTCAGACTAATACAATACTCATCTAATGAAAATGATTTCTTCCTCTAAATTTACCTTAATTGAATAAATATGGATATTGGAATTGCATTGACTCTTCTGACTCCCACGTGGCCTCTTTTACCTCATGATTCTTCCACAAAACTTTAACAAAGCGGTATTCACTTATTTCTTAGTTTTTTAACTTCACAAGCCAAAATCCATACAGTTATTCTTTATAAGTTAGATCGGTGTCTACCTAAATTTATTCCAAGGGTATGATATGAAAGGGATCTGATAGATATATCCTTAGCATGGATACGTGAAAAACTTTATGAATATGAACTAATTTTGATGGCAAAGCCAAACAATATGTCACAGGTCTGACTCTCTCTAATACTTCGTATGGTCCAATAAATCTAGGGCTCAATATTTCCTTACTGTCGTACCTCAGTACCTTATTCCACAGGGACACTTTCAAAAATACTTTGTCGCCAACTTTAAATTCTATATCCTTTTCGCTTAAGATTTGTGTAAGAATTTTGTCAGTCGAATGTTTCTTTTAGCCTGTCTTGGATTATTCTGACTTTTTCTTTAGTTTCTTGAATCAACTTTGGGCCCACTAGATTTCTTTTATGCAACTTAGTCCAACACAAACGTATCATGCACTTCCTCCCAAACAGCGCTTCATACAGGGCCATTTGGATGTTTACTTGATAGTCGTTATAAGTAAACTCCACAGATGGCAACTAATCTTCCTTACTCTTCTCAAATTCAATTATACAACATCTAAGCATGTCTTCCAGAGTCTATATAACTTGTTTTGATTGTCCATTGATTTGAGGGTGAAACGTTATACTAAAATGCAGCTTAATTCTTAGAGCTTCATGAAATTTCTTCTAGAACCTTGAAGTAAAACGATGATCCCTATCTGAAATAACATATGATGATACCCCATGCAATCTCACAATTTCATCAATATACAATTGTGCTGACTTTTCTAAGGTATAATTCATTTTGGATAGGACAAAATGAGTAGACTTAGTTAATCGATCCACATCCACCCATATCGAATCATGTTTACGCTAAGTCATGGGTAACCTAGTAATAAAATCCATTACAACCCTATCGCATTTCCATTGTGGGATCTGAATCAATTGAAGAAGGCTAGAAGGCACTAGATGTTCAACTTTAATTTGTTGGCACACCAAACACTTGGCTACAAATTCAGACACTTATCTTTTCATCCTCGGCCACCAATAAAATTGCCTCAATTCTTGATACATTTTGTTACTTTCTGGGTGGATGGAAAATGAAATATTATAGGCCTCTTGTAAGACCATTCTTTTCAATTATTCATCAACTAGAATACAAAATCGTCCTTTAAAGTACAATGCTCCACCACTTCCCTCTTCGTACCCCATAATTTCACCTTCCTCACTTGTTGTAGTTTGTCTACTAGTTTGCCATCTAGTTGTTGAATTTCTCTCACTTCATGCATTAACATAGGTTCCACTCGTAGTTCAGCCACTTAACTCCCATTTTCCTCATAATTAATCTAGAAAACATAGCTTTTAATTCGATCATAGCCTTATGACTTAAGGCATCGGTCACTATATTTGCTTTACCTTAATGATATTCGATAACAAAATGGTAGTATTTAAGCAACTCAATCCATCTTTGTTGTCATGGATTTAATTCTTTCTAAGTGAGGATATTTTTCAAGCTTTTATGGTCATTGTATATGTAAAATTTCTCTCCAAAAAAATAATGTCTCCAAATTCTCAGCATAAATACCACTGTTGCTAATTCCAAATCATGAGTGGGTAGTTCGATTCATGGGGTTTCAACTGACAATTTGCATAGGCCACCTCCCTACCTTTTTGCATAAGGACACACCCCAACCCATTCAATGATGCATTTGTGAAAAGTACATACTCTTTCCTCGGTTCGAATTGAGTTAGAATTATAGCTTCTGTTCAAATTTTCTTCAATTCCTCAAAACTAGTTTGTTTCTTTGCTCCCCACTTGAAAAGTACTCCTTTTGAAGTAGTATTATCATTATCGCAACAATCATTGAAAATTTTTCACAAAATGACGATAGTAACCTACCTAAACGAGAAAAATATGAACTTCTATAGTATACCCAATGGGGTAACCATTATATTATCACCTTAATCTTTTACAGTTCTACTCGAATACCTTCTGCGAAAACCACGTGCCTCTAAAAGTTTACTTTCAATAACCAAAATTCACACTTGTTGAATTTTGCATAAAGAATCTTCTCCCAAAGAATTTCCAACGCGATACGAAGATGTTCCTTATGCTCTTCCTTTGATTTATAGTACACCAAGATGACATCTATAAAAAATACTATAAATTGATCTATGTAAGGTTGAAAAACACGATTCATTAAATCCATAAAAGCTACGAGAGTATTCGTAAGTCCGAAAGGTATCACAACAAACTCATAATATCCATATCTCATTCTAAAAGAAATCTTTGGAATGTCCATTTCCTTAACCTTAAATTGATAATATCCTAACTTCATATCTATTTTTTCTGAATACTAATGTACCCTTGAGTTTCTGGGTGGTTGCGAGAGCAACGTTTTAGTGTAGAGAGATCTTGCTAACTGATTGTTGTAGCATCCTTAGTAAATTTGCATCATTAGGTATAGAGATATTGCATTGTTGTGTGTTTTTGGGTGGATCCATCAAGAGGAAAACCTGCTAAGTTAATGCTAGACGCATCGATCGTATTGTTGTGGCATCGTTAATTGCATGATTGAATTTAACAATACCATAATCTTTAGCTTGAGTCGATCCACAGTTTTGAATCCCTTCATCCATTAATATCTTTCTTTGTATATTTATTTTAGCTTTTATATTTTTATTGCTTTGTATACATCATCACCTATACAATTCTGTTATTTTACTTACTAAGTGTTATAGCAATTCTTAAGTAATACCAGTCTTTGTGGATACGATACTCGATGCATTAATTTGCATCCGCTTTATTACTTGATATGATAGTGTATGCTTGCACTGATTGCTGTTACATTATTTGAAGCATCAAGTTTTTTGCGTCGTTACCGGGGACTAGTGACATTACTTTTAGAATTGTTTTTTACTAACATAGTTTTTCCCTTTTTGTATGTATATTTTAATAGTTTTTATGCATAAATCAAAGTAATGATCAATGGAAGGAGATCAACAACAACAAGTTCTTAATGATAGAATAGTTCCACCTTTGCAAAATTTTCCAATGTTGCCAGCTTTTCACAACATTGATGAAAGAAATAGGCCAACTTGAGAACATGATGTGCCCACATTGGATGACTTAAATCCTGGCATTGTTTGACTGACTATCCATGCTGCCAACTTTTAATTGAAGTCGATGATGTTTCAAATGCTGCAATCAATGGGGCAATATGGTGGAGCATTTGTCGAAGATCCTAGAGCACACCTTAAAGAATTCATGGAGGTGTGTGATTCATTTTTATAGCAAGGAGTACCTGAAGAAGCCTTGATGTTGAAGTTGTTTCGCTACTCGCTCCATGATAAAGGTATAGCATGGCTTAACTCACTGCCACCCGGTGCTATAACATCTTGGAATGAACTTGCTCAAAAGTTTTTGTTGCAATTCAACCATCCCAAAATGAATGTTGGATTGAGGAACAACATCACATCTTTCATGTAATTGGAGGATGAGAACTTGTATGAAGCTTGGGAGTGATTTAAAATTTTGCTATAAAAATGCCCGATGCATGGTTTCCAACATTGGATGCAAATGGAGATATTCTACAATAGAATTAACATGCAAACAAGGATGGTTCTAGATGCTTCCACCAATGGAGCATTCCTGGATAAATCTGACAATGAAGCTTGTGATATATTAGAGAAGATTTCCATCAATGACTACAAATATCCCAATACAAGGGTTATGTCGGGTAGAAATGTTGTTGTAGCAGTGGACAATGATGCTCTGACCACATTGACTGCACAGGTGACAACATTGATTTAAATGATGAAGAGAATACAAAAACATAGAGGTATGAATGAGGTAAAAGCTACATCTTTTGTTTCTTTTGTTTATTGTGGTGCTACCCATAATTTTGAGGAATGTCCACAAATCCTCGAGTCTGTGTATTTTGTGAGAAATTATAACAGAGATGACAATTCCAACATATATCAGAGCAACTACAATCAATTTCCAGAATCATCACAACCCCAATATAGCATTTCAATCCAATTTTGGGAATGCACATCAATATATCCACATCAACAATATACTCAATAGCAGTCAATGCTACAACATCAACAAGCACATCATCAGGTAATGCCACAACAACAATGCAATAATCAGTAAATTTTTCAAGGGCAGTCTTTTCACCAAGTCTTAGCTTCAACATCGACATCTCTTGAGTCTCCACTGAAGGATTTAATCTCGAGAAATAAAGCTATGATCCAAAGCCAGAAGCATTATGGAGGCATTAGAGAATCAAGTTGGACATCTAACTAATGCATTCAGTACCAGACAACAAGGAGTGTTACCCAGCAACACTGAGAACCCAAAGCCATATTGGAAAGCTCATTGCAATGAGCATTGCAATGCCACCAATGAGAGTCAAACCATGACTCTGACCACCACATGTTGGTGGATATGGGGTAAAACACACTCGATTTCTCCTAAAATACAACCCCTCATAGTATAACCCTAAAATCCAACCCCAAATATACCCAAACCCAAAAATCAAGACCTAATCCTTATTTACCTTCGATAACGGCGATGTTCGCTCCGGTAAAAGGTCAACGTCCGGTTTTTGCTTAAGGTGAGCTTTTTGTTTGAACCTTTTTTTCTCTTCTTTGGTTCGAATATCTCTTTTTTTTTCTTTGTTCGAATGGTTCTCCCTCTGGTTTTTTCTCCCTGAATTCTTTCTCTTGATTTATGGATAACTTTAGGGTATATATGATGAGATCTCTATGTAGGGTATGACTTTTCTGATTTAGAGTTGGTAAAATCTCGATATTTTTGGGATTTATGGTATTTTAAAAATGGGTTTTGGATTTGATTGTTTTTCTGATTGATTTTGGTACTGTTTGGCCTCTGTTGATGATGATGATAGTGGTGTGGAGCTCTTCGGAGGCGGCTGATTGCTAACGCGACTAGGGAGCAGAGCGGTAAAGCTCACGCGTCGGTGGGGTATCTGGTTATCATTGGCAGCGATAGTGGCTTGACATATTTAGGGTTAAAAACCCTAACTCTAGACAATCTGGATCGTTAGATGGGTCCAGATCCAACGGTTGGGATTAAAGGCGGCTGAAGCTAAGGTGGAAACCCTAACAGGTCTTGGTTGAGTGTTAGGCCTGGACCAGGTCGGGTCAACTGTAATCGAGTCCTGAATATCTGTTATTGGGCTGGTAGCTAGATGGGCTTTGTTGGGCTTCTGGTTTGTAATATATTGGGCCAACAAAATCTAAATAAATATTGTTAATAATAATAATAATAATAATAATTAATAAATAAGTAAAATTAGGACAAAAACGAGTGTATATACAAGGTTTGCTTTTTGAGTTGTCATGTGCATACTCTTGTTATAATGAGAAATAGATGCCTCATTACTTCAATTTCAGATTTTATTTGAATTTTGTTTGGGTTTCAGGGTTTCAGGGGGAGGTTGTTCTTTAAACATCGATCATTTTTGTTCTTTCCTCTTTTGTATTTTATTTTTATTTTAGGGTAAATTACATTAATATTTAGTTATGGTCCGTTATAGACCTAAACTTTTAATTTTTTTCAAAATCATACCTAGGGTAAAAGTTTTTGTTTCATTTTAATACCAATGTTCAAAATTTAACGTTAAATTTTGAAAAAGAAAATTTAAAAGTTTAAATACTAAAACGATAGTTTAGGCATTAAACGCGTTAAATTTCTAACAGTGGGGGTACTAAAATGAAACAAAAACTAAACATTAAGTATGATTTTGAAAAAATTGAAAGTTTTGGTACTAAAACAGAAAAACTGATAGTTTATATACTAAATGCATAGTTTACCCCTTTTTAATGAAGTTCATGTTTTCTTGTTGGGGAAAAACTATTATTTGTCAAATATATTTACGAAGTTCCTTTTCCAGTTGTAGTATACAACCCTTAGCCGAAGTGTAAAGGATGATGACAAGATTCAGCGTACTATCCGCCCGCAGCAATTTAGTTTACAAAATCCATTTTCAACTATAATTATATGTGCCTTTGATTAAGGGCAAACTACTTCATAAATAGCCGAATTTTAGGTATTATATCATTTATACTATTAAACTTTTATTGTTTTCAATTTTAATACTGAAGTTTGATTTTCGTTTCAATTATATCATTGAATCGTTGAATCGTTAATTGCACGATGACGTGACTAACGGTTGTCGATGTACCACACCAAAACAACTTCATTTTAATCTGAATGATAACAATCTAATAGCCTAGTGAAATTATTGAAACAAAAATAAAAATTTAGTGTTGTATGGGGGAGAAAGAAAGAGGATGGGACCGCCACCGTGACCTCCCATTTGTCGCATTCCCTGCCGTATTTATCCCTATCCCCCTCCATTTTCTTCCATGCGACTCTCCTCGAAATTAAATCAGAAAGGACGAAATTTAAAGACCTGCTGGTATATGTGAAGATGAAAGCTTATGCTTGGTAAGGCGTTGAAGGTTTTTAGTGTTTTAGACGAGAAACGTTGGTGGGATTGGCCAGGGGAGTCAGCGGGTCTAAGTGTACAACAACGTCCCAAGTCTGTCTGGAAGCCGCCAGTGTCGGGCCAGATGAAGTTCAATGTGGATGGCTCAGCAACGAATAAGTCAGCAGGGTGTGGGGGAGTCTTGAGGACTGCAGAAGGTTATGTAGTAGCAATGTTTCTTGGGCCGGTAACAGAGGTCAATTCAGGTTTTGCGGAGCTTGTAGCTATCAAAACTTCATTAGACGTGTTTGTTGAATCTTGTTGGTGTGGGAAGACTGGTTTGATCGTCGAATCTGATTCAAAGGTAGTGTTGAACTGGATACAAAATGTCTCAGCTCAACCATGGAGGTGGGGGGGGTAATTTTTCAGGGAATTGATGTTAATGCACTGAAGATATACGAGTTAAAGTTTGCGTTCTCGCCTAGGAATACTAATAATATGGCAGATTACTTGGCAAAGATCGGCTCCAAGAGGAAAGTTTTGTTCAAGGCTAGCTGGTGATATGTAGAAAAGGAGTTATCCTAGTAGTTTTATTGTGTACCTGGTTTGAATGTTAATTTGATCAAAATAGAGGTTATTAGGATTTTTTCTAATGTTGGTTAGGAGTTGGGTATTGTGGAGATTTTTTTTCTTTGGTAAGGTGGGGTAGTTTTGCTTTAAGTTGTGCTTCATCTATATTTTGGGTAATTCATGTTATGAGCTTTGGTGTTTTTTCTCAATTTTGAGAACTCTTTTCCCCCATTTAGGATTAGGGTTTTTTTAATGAGGCTCAAGTTGGGGATATCCTATGAATTTTAATAAAAACTTCTGATTGCTGAGCAAAAAAAAAAGAATTGGAATCTTTTTACCTTTTTATTTTGGAAGAGGCAAAACTTTTACCTATCTATTCTTTATGGAATCGAAGAGAGATCTTCAACTGTCGGTAAATAGGGAATGGGATAAATAACGTGTCCACACCGTTTTTCGTTTGAGTGAGAGAAAACAAGTACCGATTTGGAGGTTTATATTTGAAAAGGTTTTGAAAAGTGAAGAGTCATCACCAATCATTTTTATGTACGATTGGGACACTATAAAAACCGGGTGATTTTTAATAAAATATTTTATTTTTATCAAAATACCAAGTTTTAAGGTTTATAAAAACAAAAAAATAGGTTCGGGAATCGGTTACGCGTGGGGAAGGATTAGCACCACCATAGCACCTAAAAAATTGGTATTTAGTTGATTACCCTATATTTAGAATAAAAATTTGTGATTTCGAACTTTATCTAATTTAAAAATCATTACGGATGAAAAGTTGAAAAGGGTATTTGTTTATTAAAGTCAATAGCATTCTCCCCCTAGAATGAATGCGGGAGATCAACTACTATGCCCAATAAGCGGACATTGCCTTAATTTTAGAAATCATGATGCCATATTGAAAAGGATTTCGACCTATTTCGGGAGTCACCAGTAGGGGTGTAAATGAGCCGAGTTGAGCTCGAGTATTGTTGAGCTCGGCTCGACTCGAAAACTCTGAAATGGAGCTCGACTCGACTCGAAAGCTCGCGAGCTTAAATTTTTTAAGCTTGACTCAAACTCAAAATCTTGAATTAAAGCTCGTGAGCAGCTCGAAAAGGCTCAAATGAAAAAAAAAATTCTTAAACTTAACAACATTGAATCCTCGAATTCGAACTCGAACCTGAACCTTAAATATATGAAGCCTTATTGTATTTTTTAAAAAAATTCAACACATAAATGTTAATATTATTAATAATTTATTTTTTAAAAAATAAAATTTTAATATATTATATTTTCGAGTTGCTCACGAGCTTTTCGAGTTGAGTATCAAGTAGCTCGTTTCGACTCGTTAAGAATTTGAGTCGAGCTCGAGTTCGAGTCTAGTCCATTCAATCTTAGTATTTATCGAGCCTTGACCGAGTCGATCTCGAGTAGCTCGCGATTTGTCTCGTCTCGTTTATAGCCCTAGTCACCAGTAGTCACCCCCTAAACATACTTGCGGGAGATATACTATTGAATCCCTCATAAGTGAACATTGCCTTAAAT